AGGGGTTTGTGTGTATATGTGTGTGTATATGTGTGTGTGTGTGTGTGTGTGTGTGTGCGTGTGTGTGGGTGGGGGTTGGGGTGAAAGGAGAGATGAGAGTCATGTGAGGAGAAATGACAGTCATGTGATGAGACGAGGAAACATGGAAAGACTGATGGAGGAAAAAGAAGTGAGGAGGTGAAGAAAGTAAAGAATGAGAGAAGGATGATGTTTGTGGAGAAAAGGATCAGAGTGAGGAGAGTTTTCAGGTTGTGCTGTTAATTATGAATAATGCTCTACACAATTAAATACCTGTCTTGTACAAATGAATGGTTGTGAGAAGCTGCAGTTCTCTCTGCTGCTCCTCTTGTTTTTAATGAGCTTCTCATGGCGTCTCAATGCTGCTGTAGACAACAGATAAAGTCAGATGGATTATTAGATGCCGTTTTATTGAAATCGATTCTGCAGTTACAATCAGTCTAGATCGGTTAAACCAGAAATCCATCACTGAAAATACAGACTTCCCTCAAAATGGACTCTCATTAACCTGTAAGACCTCTCTGCAAGTGTCTGCCTTGTTTTTTTGTTAGTGCTGTTTACTGAAACATGTCCTGTTTTATCAAAGGGGGTATTTGCAGTCAGAAGACATGCAGACTGGGGTACGGGTACTTGGAGACTCTAAAATGTCAGTAGCTATGAATGTGAGGGTGAGGACTTGTGTGTCTCTGTACGTCAGCCCTGGTGAGCTGTCCAGAGTGCACACAGGAGCTCCAGCTTTCGTGAAACCGAAAAATAATAATGGATGGATTGTTGAACATAAATCTTACCTGTTTGACTGTGAGAGTAGAACTGTGGAAGATACTCGATCGACTGAAACCTCATCTAAGCTTCAGAAACATTTTTACACCAATATATGGTTGTCTACAGCAAACAAGTCTGTTTCAAATATTCATATGAGCACTGATCTGTAAAGTTATAGGTTGTCGATTTCCCATCCTGGATTTGTCCACATTTTCTTCTCACTTTAGTTGATTTGTTGAAGAAGAAAGACTCCACTTGTGTTTGCTGATCTTCTGTGAACAGTTTTGCCAAAGTTAAAATGATGCCATCTGAACTCTGGTGAGAATTCTAAAAGTCCCTGAGTGTGTGGTTGTTCCCAAATTTGCAATTTATCTGATCTCATTCTGGAGTGTATCTAAGTAAAACTGTCTTCATCACATGTGCCTGGCTTTCTCTGTAATGATTAATTTGGTGTCACTGTCCCTACTTTGTGAATGAGGTAGTGCTGAAGTAAACAGGCCTGCATGCTGTCATAAATGTTGACGTCTGTTTTTGAGACAGAATTAACATGATGTCACTTGTTAATATTTGACTTTGATTTATAACACTGCTCTACTGGAACTATAGTCACACTTGTGTTTTACTCTGGATAATCTGAATATAACAACATTGAGAATAAAAAAACAAACAATGTAAGAAACAAAGTAGAAGAAACAAATGGAGATTATGAAGTTTATTACAAATTTAAAGAGAAAAAAGTAATCTAGCCTATTGTCTAATTACAGAAAGGGAGATAAAGTTTGAGAAGGGTTAGTTTAATTTAAAAATGTCGTCAAATTATCCAATCAAGCTGGATTACACGTTATTGAAACTGATCAATTAACAAACTACCAGTGAATCACGGGGCTTGTTTATAAGCTCTGGTTAGTTTGGTTTTAAACTGAACTCTTGTCTCTGATTAGGACCAAAGTGAAGCACTGACACAAAGTCACAGCCCGAAAACCTTGTGTCTGTCTCTGATTGGTCGGGACGCTGCAGCATCATGTTGGCTGTGGTCTGACCTGAGAGAAGCAGCTGACAGAGACACTGAGGAGAAACAGAACAGCGACTGATAAGATACAGACCAGAAACATTGTTTACAGGTGGAGAAGATTCGTTTTTTCCACCCATAATATAATTAGTGCTGATTGGACATCTGTCTGACTGAATGTTTGTGTTCTATTCTTTGACAATAAACTTTCTGTCAGTCTCGGTCTGAACCAACTGATGAACTGTGTGTGTGATGAATGTGCGTGTTCATAGGTTATCAGTCATAAGGGCGACCAGCGTGTTGCAGCAGCATGTGTCAGTGAAGGAATGTGCCTGAGGCTGCAGGAAAACACATCTGTTAGCGTGTATGTGTGTGTTTGAAACAAAATGAATGACTGCATGTATCCCAGGTTATGTGCGTGTGTGGAGGGGGGGGTAGGGTACAGGTTATTTCATCTGAGACTGTATGTTCAGTGTTTTTATTTTACATGTAAGAAACTGAGATCTGCAGCATGAGTAGTTGTATGAAAACTACACAAGATTGTCTTCCTCTGTAAATCCACACACCTGTGACAGTGAAGTTTGTGTCAGTGCAGACGGAGAAGAATTGTCACAGTTTACACAAGTAGTGAATCGGGGGGGGGGTTTCCCCCACTTGCTCCTCCTGTGGGCAGGGGAAGGTCGGTGGTCTTATCCACGGCTCCTCCAGTGGAAAGAATTTAGACACTAAAGCCCAAAACCCCCCTGTGAATGGATGATTCATAGAGAAGTGATTTATGGATGTGACATAAATATGTATTGTATAAATGCAGCATATTTACCATAAATCATTCAACTAGCAATAATCTTTCTACTATAGCTCACGTAAAAACATTTGAAAATCCCAATGACGGTAAGTCAGCTGCAGCGCTTCATAAGGTTAAATCAATGTTGTGTTTTAGAAAAACAATCTAATTTCACTGTTTATCCAATGACATGACTCGATTGAAGAGTTGAGTCCATGAGCACATCGAGGGGTCGTAGTTCATTCAGACACGTTTGTGATAACAGCAAATTTAATTTGTATAGCGCAAAATCACATCTAACTCACTTTGCATAGTAAGGTCATGACAATATGAAATTAAAACAAAAACCTATCAGTCCCTACAATGAGAAAGCACTTGGTTAAAAGGAGAAAAACAACAGAACCAGTGTTTGCGGTGAGAGAAGAGAAACGGGGGGGAGAGGAGAGGTGGGTGGAAAGTCGAGAACAGAGCAGGAGACAAGGATCAGTGGTGCAACTGTTGTATTTAAGCTCTGGCACACTGGTTGTTATATTGACGATAATATTCTTGTAGATGTAATGATGTTATTAATAATAATAATAATAATAAAAGCAGCAATGATGAAAATAATAATAGGACAGAATAATAAAATTGAGACTAAATCGAGCATCACTGACTTCAACTGTTGCACTGTAGTGGTTGCAGTTATTTCACAATGAGCTGTAAGTTATTTCTGTTCCTGCAAAGTAATAATGGCTTAATTAGTGAGAAGATTTCAGTTTCTTATGGCATCAGTTTTGGTGAATACATATTTGGTAATGGTGGTGGAGAGCGCTGTCTGTTGCTCCCAAATGTGTAAACCTGGGTTGAGATCTGGTGACTGAGCGGCGTAACGTGATTTACATCAATTTCATACTCAAACCTTATGTTTCTCAACTTATTTATTTGTGTTCCCCTAATATTTCCCTCACTGTGATATCTGCTCTGGTACAACGAGCTGAGTGTCTGTCTCTCTCTCTTCCAGGGCTGTGTGGAGCAGTGAGGAGGGAACCAGCCTGAACTCCAGCTGCATGAATCATTCCCTGAGCGGCTGAGAGGTGCGCTCCGCTTCAACACAACACTGCTTGGCTTTAAAACATCACATGTGCAATAAGCTTTAACATCTGTAACATTTTTACTCTCATCTGTCCTAATATTGTGTGATCTCCAAACTGCTTGTAATTGTTTGACTTCAATTCATTTTTACCTTGTAAATCACCTTGTATCTGTGTTTTAAAAGGTGCTTTATACTTAAAGATTCATATTATTACCTTTGACATGATATGGTAAATGAGTAAACTTCAGTTCCAGTCTCAGGCAGATTTTTTTTTACAATTGATTCGGTGTAAATCTAAATTTTACTTGTTAATGTGCAGCATTATCCGAGTTCATAACTTCTTCCATGTGTTTTATTTTTCTGCATTTTTCACGTGTCTAAATAAATGGACATTATGCCTGGAGGGAATAATTGATTTCCCAGTGAAGCAGTATTAATGCCAGTGGTCTTGTGGTGAGGAGATTCCTGTGGTTTCTCAGTAGAGCTGGACAGTGTAACGCTCTTGTTAATGGAGCAGCATCCGTTTGAAGGTTTTTGGAAAATGTTCAGCTTTGTTGTTGACTTTGTTCTGAGGTATTTCCCATGACTGCTATCTTCACTTAACACACTCTACACACACACGCACGCACGCACGCATACACTTAAGGCAGGTATTTTAAGTCTTAATGCCACATGTAGAGACTCTCACGGGACATTTTTGAAAAAAGATTTTTGACTTCCACGATGAAGACCCTCCGAATGCTCCAGCAAACACACACACACACACACACACACACACACACACACACACACACACACACACACAGAGGTATGAATGATGTCAGCCTCGACGTCCTTCAACACCACTGAAGAGGAAAGGCAAACAAGCGATCCATTTGACAAAACCTCTTTATCTCTGAAAGAAGGGAATTCACCTTCCTTTGAACTGAGTCACAGGTTGTTGCGAGTGCTAACAAGCAACAAGAAAACACATAAACTTCTTCAGGCCTTTTCTGCACTTTGTTGTCAATTTACTACTTCTATTAAGATGCATCTGTGTGAGTATGGAGCCACTTTAGAAGATGTGCTGGATTTGTTATTTGTTGTGCAAAGCTGTCTCCCATTAACAAAATATGTTGATGTAGAGCACATGAGGTTGATTCTTGTAGAAAAATCTACGACGGAGAATCCAAACACGCACCTTTGACTTTGAGGAGACAAATGAAACTAATGTGTAATGTTTTAGAAATGACATAATTTTACTTCCTTTTTGGTTCAGGTACCTTCATGAAAAATGAATTTCTGTTCCTGTGTTTCATTCAGCCAGGTGTTGATTTGAAGCTGTGTGTGCTGAAAGGTCTCAGTTCTGAAAAATGACTCAGTCAGTGCAAGTTAACCCGAAGCTGCCTGGTAAGAAACTGCCTACAGATGTCTTTATTTTTGTATCTCCACTATTGGTTCATTTGTTTTGTTAACTTGCATGTGTAAATGTGTTTGTGATATTCCACTGAATGACATTTGGTGACAATAATGCACAAAGAAAATAAGCAATTTGCCGAACAAAAGTGGATGAGGAAGTAGAAAACATTGAAATAAACAAGATAGTTTTTTAAATTGGCAAAATGGGCATTCTTTGTTTATATTTACGAGGAAATGGGGCATCTTTGAATGCCATGCATGTATTGATGTTCCTGAGAAACTTGTCTGTTGCCCTCCAGATCTGCGCTCTCCATTCATCTACTCCAATCAGGAGGAGGCTGACCAGTCAGGCTCCTACTCCGTTCAGACTCCGTATGGTTTCCAGCTGGATCTGGATTTCCTAAAATATGTAGAAGAAATAGAGAGTGGGCACAATCTCCGTCGGGGACCTGTCAGCTCCCGCCGATTGGGTAGAGGGATCAAACTCTCCCAGAGGAGCACAGGTGTGGGCGGGCGCACTAGTGGCTGGACATCCACAGAGTCTCTAGCTTCCCCTGCCAGTGAAGATGGCAGAGCTCCTCCACCGCCACCACCACGCAACCGCCTTGGGTCAGCACCCTGTGAAGGACTCTCTCTTTCCCCTGTGACCCTCCTCACAGTCCCTCCACTGTCTGCTGGAGCCAAAGTGCCACCCCCTCCACCGCAGCGAAACCCTAGAGTTGAGCGGACTCTCCTTGAAACCAGCCGGCGGCTACAGCAGGAACAAACCCACCAGCATCAAAATGGCGGACGATTCCAGCTTGCAGATCCTCCCAAACAGCTCTTACCCTCCTCATCCACTCAGCCTCTGCAGAGTAACTGGGTTAAACCCAGTCCTCAGACCTCAGGGCGCAGCACCCCTGCTACTGGCACCGCAATGACTCCGATCCCTCCCAGCCAGCTGCAGACAGTTAGAGAGCAGATGGCTACGGCCTTGAAGCAGCTAAAGGAGATGGAAGAAAGGGTAAAGGGTGTTCCTGCACTTGAGAGAGAGGTGGCCAAGCTTCGTGCAGAGAAGGAAATGCTCCTGTTAGCCCTGGAAGACAAGAAAGTAGCCATGGAGGTGGCCCAGCAGAAGCAACAGTCCACAGAGTCTTCTACCCAAACAACAGAGACCCTTCAAAGCCAAAGTGATCACCATGTCCACGGTCAACAAACTTCTCCAACCTCACCTGGCCACACCGGCCTTGGTAAATCTGGCGAGCTGAAAAGGTTGACAGAGAAGTTTGAGGGGAAGGAAGAGAAAACTCCAGAGCTCTCATCAAAAGTTTTAGTAAAAGCTCCACAGAAAGTTTCAGCTGTTGAGAAGAAGTCTGTGGCTGCTGGGGGCGACATGCCAATGGACTCTGTTGTTTTCTACTACTGCCAGGGTGTGAAAGATGCCTCTGTAAACACCAAGGTGAATGTTTGTGAGAAATGTACAGAAACAGAGGCCCCTCTGGTTCATGAGGAGGGGGTACAGACCAAGGTGGAGACAGAAGATGCTGAGGTTTGGGTCATGGAGTCACTACTTGGACTGAGCAGCGAGGCGCAGCGGGAGATTGATACCTTACAAGACACCATTAAATTTCAGCAGGAGACCATTGTGGCTCTAGAGGACCAGTTGAGTGTGGTTGACAATGACCTAGGGATGCTTAGAGCCAAGATGGAAGAGAAAACCACTAAAGTCATGTTTGAGAAAGGGGTTCTTGCCAAACCAGACATGATGAATGTCCAGACAGAGACAGTGACTTCTGAGTTTAAGCATGTTGCAGTTTTATGCTGTCCAGAGGTGACTGATGCATGTGTAGGGGAGATTCTGACAGCTGTTCAGACTGAGCAGGGCACCCAGACGGATGCTTTACAGAAACCAGCAGAACCAGCTCCTGTTGCACTGGTCAGCACTGGGTGTCAATGGGAGAAATTGTTCGAGGGAAAGACTGAGGAGCAAAAAGTTACAGTACCAAAGAGGAGACAGTTGACCATCGCAGAGTACAAGGTTTGTCCAGAGGAAGAGGTTGTCAGCACAGCTGAGAAACAAGAGGATGACCAAGGACAGAAAACTGAAGCTGGCAACACCAAGACAGGTTAGAACTACAGGATATTCTGGGTTTCTTTTCTTGGGTTAGACTTACGACATCATTAGAGGCTGCTTTAAATATTTTGCTTTCCTTAGTATATGTCAAAGGTTGATCACTGTAAAAACTCAACAATCCATTATAAGTAACAGCATTCAATGCAACATGACAGAACTATTTCATGTTTTGTAACAAGTGGAGAATAATGGAACCCTGGAAAATCGTATAAAGTACAATTAAAGATTACAAAATAATGTACTTAATTAAAAAGCAAAAGTACCCATCAGATTTAAATCGAGAAACATTGTTTATTGAGTACTTTTGTGTGAGGTATCCGTCTCTGGTGTACTTTGTTTGAACTATTGTTTGACCATTGTGCTTCCAACTTGACAATAGGTATGCTGAAATCGATCATGAAGAGGAAGGATGGGAGTAACTCAGGCGAAAATCGCACCACTGGCAAGAAGAGCCTGCAATTTGTTGGTATTCTAAATGGAGGGTGGGTAACATGAAACCTAATTTTTATTTTTACCACAGTAAAAATAAAATAAGGGCAGCAGAATGTCTAAAGGTTTGGAATAACACTGCACACGCATCAGGTCACAGGTTTGAGAAATAAGATATAAAAACTCACCAACTGCAGTGTTGCTTTTGAAGAGAGAGACAACCAAGTCAAATGTGAAGCACATAAGTTGGGAATCGATGCTCTTTGTTACAGCAAATATTTGTGCCTCTCAGGTATGAGTCAACATCCAGTGAAGAGGAAGAGGGGGGGGGAGAAGACGAGGAGGAGGAGGAGGAAGATGGGAGTTCTTCTGGAGAAAGTGGTGAAGGGGAGTGCTTGGACAGTACAGAGGAGGATGAGGCTGCTCTTGAGGAAGAAACATCTGAGGAGGAGAGAAATGTCAACCTGGATGAGAGTGACACAGATGAGGAAACTCTGAGAGCTGAAAGTTATTCATCTGATGCTGTGAAAGAGAAGTAGGTTGTTATTATGGGGAAATTAATATATTTTTTTAGTTGCGATGTTGATTAATGCAGTTTTAGTTTCCTGTAAATTACAGAGAGTTGGCTGGCAAAGTTTACAATTGCAATGCAAAGAAACAGAATCTATGTGCAGAAAGTGAGTGAGGTTTTTTTGTGTTCAAACGTCATTCATTTGCTGTTTTGTTGCAGGTTTGAGCTGAGCTCAAAAATGCGTGAAGCTTGCCTCATTTTAAAGAATCACCTGAACGATGACATTAAAACACTGAAGAGTAAGGAAGTGGTGCGTCCCTGCATGCTTCTTCAAATCATTTTATCACAGAGTTTCACTTGAAACTTCACCACTGTAATAATGCAAAGTAAATTATAGTTATTTAATATTTGATGAAGGCTGTGTGACCATATCTTATTGTTTGAGGATATTGTGAAGTCCCATCAAAGATAAATAATGAACTAACATGTAGAAATTTAAGATAAAAGCTTAGGAACTGAATCATTGTTGAACAGTCAGCAATTGTTATCTACAAATGATAAAATCTGAATGAGAAACTAGCATAAATAAGCTGCAATAGAAATTCTAACAGCAGCACTTCCTTTCAGAATGCAGTTTTTTTGGGGTATTCACAATGCATTCTTAATAATGCGACTCTCGACCCTCACCCTCAGCTCTCCAGCACCCACACTGTGCAGCTCGAGTGGTTCCGCATGTCTAGTGCCAAGATGGCTCAGCCTTCACGGGTTTCAGACTACCTGATGGCGTTCTCTGAAGTGTCGTCGGCTCTGCTGCAACACGTAGTCAACATGACTGATGGCAATGGCAACACAGCTCTTCACTACAGTGTCTCCCACTCCAACTTTGGTGTGGTTGGACTGCTGCTGGACACAGGTTAGTGATTAAAAAGAACGATAGCTTACAGACTACAATGATTGTGCTAATGTGTGCTAATGTTGAAGAGGAGCCGTTAATTTACTTGAGGTTGTTGTTATGTGTATTTCTGTTTGTTTAACACTTACTGAAATAGAAAAAGGGCAGATGCTAGTTTAAGGCACTACAGCTAACTTCTCTAGCCTAAGCTGGTCCATTTATATGCCTAAACACAGAGTAGTAAAGTCAATTCCCCACAGGTGTGTGCTGTGTGGATAAGCAGAACAAGGCGGGCTACACGGCCATCATGCTGGCTGCTCTCTCTACTGTGAAGGAAGAGGACGATATGGCTGTGGTCAAGAAGCTCTTCAGTCAGGGCAATGTCAACGCCAAGGCCAGCCAGGCAAGTCACCATCACTTCATCACAGTTGAGAGCCCTTAACCTGGACACAGCACAACAATGTGTTGAGGTCACAGTTATTTTACTGCAGTCATTCCTCTCATAAACGTGTCTTTACCAATATGTTTTCAGTTTAAAGCGAAAATGAGCTCCGTCAATGAATGTTTTTGGCTCTGTATCCGTGAAAATACCAATCCATACTAACACATCTGAAAATACACATCAAGTGCCCATTCAGCTATGTGAATGCTGATTTACACAGAAAGCAGATCTTCTACTCTGCAGTTGGTTGCTTTTGTTCAGGAAATACTGTAAACAATTAACAACAATGGTGAAAAGTAAGAGCAGGGATTTTGTCCTCTTTACAATGTTTTATCTTTACCGCTGTTAGTTAAATCATGATGAGAATCAATTAGGAAGCGAATGTAGGTCCTCTTTTCCAAACGTCTTTTACCCTTCCATACTATAATGCAGATTCTTTCTTTTTTGTGGCTAGAACTGTTACTAAATTGTGTCCAACAAAGTGCACAAAGAACTTTTGTGAATCTGTAGTCACCTCCATCAGCCAGAGGCATGGAGTCTGTCCTCACACAGGTTTTTTTAATCAGTTGAGTCCTACTTGGACACAAATTCTTTCATTAAACCAAACATAGGATTTACACGTTATAGTCAAAACAAAAAATCTGGAAATTCAAACTAATTATTTATCTTTTACGAGCATGAAATTGTTAAATTGTTTTTTTTGTTTTATTCCTTTGGTAAATATACTATTGTTTTTTCACCTTTTGTTGTTTCAATGATAGAGCTGTTTTGAGAGAAGGGAAAAAATTAGAATAATGTCCCGATTTGTTCCATATTTATTTTAGTGAATAGGTGTTACAAGCATTTCCTGTGACCTAATTAATGACTGTTGAGACTTGAGAAATGATTGAATATATATCAAATTTAATTAGAGAAGTAGAAAGCCTGGCATGAGACAGAAGTCATTCCTGAGAATCTGTTGACTTTTCTGTTGTATCTCTGGTTGATCTAATCTGGTTGTGTAGTGTATGTGTTTGGACATGGTCGCCTGACAGGCCCACACGCTGCCAAGTCATAAGACTCTGTGGCTAAATTTATAGCATCACTGGCTATAAAGCAAATTTTTGGCACTGGTTATTGTTGCTGTGGGGAACAAAACCCAAGACATGCAATGTAGAGACAGGAATTTATGATGTACTATTTTCTGCTGAGATGTGTTCTGGGATTTGCAAAACATACTTTTTTTGTGATTTAATTTTGAATTTCAAGCAAATGAGGAAAATAAACCTGAGAGACACTTGTGATTATACCAAGTAGAGGACTGAATGCACATGGTGCAATGGATTTGCAAAAATATAAATCAAGGTAGTGCTGAAAAAGCAAAAAGATGTATGCTGAGCAAACTGCCCATCAAAGGAAAAGTCAACATTTCCTCAGTGGACAGTAAAACCGTAGGACCTCTGACAATAGTTTTTTGTTTGTTTGGTTAGCTATATATATATATATATATATATATACCAAAGATATACATGACTTTTTCCCAAAGCTTAATGGATGATCTAACCAGTCTGACAGCATTTGAAAAATATGTCTTGAGAAGAAATATCTTCTATACCTTTGCAGGCAGGCCAGACAGCATTGATGCTAGCTGTTAGCCATGGACGTCAGGAGATGGTGCGGGCACTGCTCAAGTGTGGCGCCGATGTCAACGTGCAGGACGACGAGGGGTCCACAGCACTGATGTGTGCCAGCGAACATGGCCGAGCCGAGATTGTCAAACTGCTCCTGGAACAGCCTGGCTGTGACATATCCATTGTGGATAATGTAAGATGTTTACATTTAAGCTTTTTAGCTTATGTAGTCATTGAAACTGAGTGACCTACTCTGAGTTTGACGATGCTCAACCTCTGCTGAAAACATCGGAGCGTTTTCTTGTCTGGGATTCAGCTTAATCTGTGCTCAGGAAATGGCTTCTCATGGGAAAGTGGTCAATGCACTTTCCTCTCCTTGTCACTTCTTTCTCTCTTTCTTAAGAAAAACTGAGTTTTTCCACAATTAACAAGATAAGTTTAAGAGCCACAATCAGATTAGTTTCAGTTTTCAAATCAGTACTGTTTACAGGAAACACAATCACTGGTCTCTGTACAAGCCCCGGGGGGTGAATTAGAAAGCCGCAGCGCCACTGTTCACAGCCACAGACTCACAAATTTGAGACACAATGCCCTGCATCAACATACCTTACCACACAGTGCATTTTAGACTTCAAAAGATCAAGGCTGCAGGAGATTTGTCATTCGTGTCATGTAGAACCAACACTCAGTTTTCAGTTTATTAGGCACACATAGCTAAGATCAGTGAAGTGTACTACAAAAGTCCTACAATAAATACATGAATTTATTCAATATTTGTTTAAACACCATGTCCAGCCCATTCAAATCAGTGAGGGTAGGTTCAACAACAGATGCACCTTTTTGTATAATGCACCACAAAGAAACAGAATCCACAAACCACAAACATTTGCGAACAATAAGGAAAAAGTCTTACCCTGGAACAAAACATGTCTGATTGTGACATTTTTCCTGTATTTGATCACTAATCTGCACAGCTGAGTATTTGAAAGTGATTTCACAGTGGATTGGTCTGAATGCTCGAAGAAGGAGCAGACAGACGGACATATTTGTTGAGTTGAGTTTGTTAAGCTGTCCCAGAATGAGTTAGCCATTTGACGCAGGCAGCTCCTGGATTGTGTTTCAGTGCAACACAGCTGGACTGAGTGGTGGACCCGAAGGAGGGGGGTGGGAAATATTTGGAAAAGCCCCCACCTCCTGTCCTCCTGAAACAAAGAAAAGCATGACTAACCATGACTGTAAAGCACAGGGTAGACATACACTCAGCTGCAAGTTTATTATTATTACAGTCTCATACAATCCTGCATTAAATCTAATGTTTGTGGAGGTCGTAAAGTTCATTACTGCCACAGTGGAGGTTACGTCTTGACCCACTTCTGTTTGTTTCCATCAGGATTACGCAAACACTACTAAACCTATTTGCATCCCACTTGGCAGAGAGATGGGGCCTGGGCCAGGAAAAAACACATAAACCTTCTGTCCAGATGTGGTTAATGATGCCCACAAAGTTGAATAAACACCTCTCCAAAAAAAAAAGAACAATATAACCTTCATTGTTACCAAGTGTTAGAAGAAAGGAACAATTCCAATCCTGCATCTTTATAATGAATTTTCTAACCTGATCTGTGAAGGCACACACAACATGTCCTATGTCATGTTCAAAATGAAATTATTATTTTAATTAATGCAGCACTGTCTGATGAGGTCTAGAGATAAACCTAAATGCTCAGTGAGAGTGCTCCACTTGTCCAGCTGTGGCAGTGTAACAGGGACATGTGGATGACAAAAACATGTGCAGATGAGATTCGTTTGGAAGCATTATGATTTCCCAGTTTTAACTTGCAGCTGCACTGGTCAAAGGGTGGGACAGTTGGAACCTGTTAACTGACTGGGTGATGTCATTACTTTAATCAATTTTTTCTTCCTGTGGGATCAATCATGAGATTTTTAAAAATCTGATCAAGATATAAAAAATAAACACATTATTTTTGTAAGGTTCATTTTGACCAAGACATTTACTGCACAAAAAAATTGACTTGAGGAAAATGAAAACTGGTAAATTCTGCAGGTATTGTTTGTTCCCTACTGTGATGACAACATTAAACCATGACCAAATCGAGTAATGTACCAAACGACAGATGGCTGCACTATGGCGACTGCCATGGTCAGAGGGAATTTTTTTAAATTTCAAAATATCAAAGTTAACTTGGATTCAAGGATGAACTTATTAGATTTGGTGGTTAAAGGACTTTACAAAACATGTTTTATGAAACAAGCTTTCGATAACATCTAGTCAGAAACAGGATCAATGAACTGACTTTCTGCCCTCCCTCTCTCTTTCCTCTGCTGACTACAGGATGGCAGCAACGCTCTGTCCATCGCACTGGAGGCGTCTCACAATGACACGGCTGTACTGCTCTACGCCCATATGAACTATGCCAAGACCCAGCCTGCTGTGGTGAGTCCACCCTCCCACCCACCTCCTCCTCTGTGAAGATGTGCCCACAGAGACACAAGAATTTCATTTAGGAAACCAGGGAGTAGAGACTGTAGTGGATTGATTGAGTTGATGAAAATCGACACACGACACAAAAGGAAACATGTAAAGAAAACATACTAAGGGGTGGTCACCTTTAGTCGGTGCAGCTCATATTCACAACATAACTGTACAGTGAGCAAAGTCTCTTGTATGAAAAGTGGCTGGGGTCAGTTCCTTGGCAGCTCTCACAGCGTTAGTTTGGGTGTGGGCAGCATTGACGGAAGGTGCACTGCTGCCCCCTTCAGGTGACACCAAGCACCTGGCAGAGCCAGATTCCCAACTATTGCTTTTGATTTTAACTTGAAAACCCTGGTATGTTTCCAATAATGTGACCAAAGCCTGAACATTATGAGCTCTGTAAAGATAGATGTTATGATAGTGTGAATTCACTTGCTGAATAATAATAAAATCCACCCTGTCCCTCACATTGTGTCTTTCAGGGGAGTCCAAAGGCTCAACAACGGAGCCCCACCACTCCTCAAAAGCCCTGGCCTGCATACTGAACTGATCATAGCCTCGGGCTGAGGTGGAAACTGGATATGAGCTGAGAAAAGCTCCACTGGAAATTACTTAAATATATATGTATTTATATTTTGCCATATGCCCTGCATTTATAATTATTGTTAATATGAGAAAATTATTTTTCCATAAACGTTTTGAATGGTTATATTATATACTTGACTAATATGAGCTCCTAGCATGTCTAAATGACGTCTCCAGCGCTTGTTTTTGCTGTGACAGGAGCTGAGGCCTTACATTTATTATTTGCACTTCACAAATGTTTAACTGTTGAGGGCAACAAAAAACAGCAACATTTTCCATGCAAGCCCACACACGGACACAATACGCATCACAATACGACATTATCTAATAGTGAAGCCAAGTGTGTATGTATGAAGTAACTTCCTGAATTGGTTTCTTTAACATAACTAATTTTATACTTTACAGCATATATGGTGTGTGTTATGGACATCAAATGACACAACACAGCTGGTGTGTGTTATCCTCTTGTCTACACTTTCTGCCCTGCCGTGGATGACTGACAAGTGAACCTGTTCACCTTCATAGTCTGCACTAACTGTCCATGTTCATATAAATACAGTATATATCAAATAAACATACGTATTTACATAAAAGCTGATTTGTGTTTTTCTGAATTACAAACACTTCTTTAAACTATGTGAAGGTGGATTCACTGAGTTCCAGAATTGTGTACAATGGGCACAGCATTCCAACGATGAAGTACAAGTTTATCAAGGTATCTCAGTGGACAATAACAGGGAGGCTGTCCACCAGATACAGCTCAGTCTAAACTGGGTGATGGAGCAGGACAATTAAAAAATGTAAAGCTAGGACAGAATTGAAATAAACAAAATGAGCCTTTTCCACCAGACATTGTGAGAATATGGTTGACCTGAAGCAGTTCTATTGGACAAATGGACAAAAAAACCCTCCTGAACATTGTGCAAGTCTGAGTAAGTAGATTTAGCTATAACCAGCTGTGAGTATTATCATCACTATCATCAAACAACAGACGCCTTGCCAAGGAGAAGCAGTTCCACTTCCAGCTATCACAAGGTTAATGTGATTAATGTGTTCAGTAACTTAGTGTGGCCCACAAAGGTTGTTATAAAATAGAGAGAGAGGGAGATAAGATTTCCCACCACTGCTGTAGAATAATCAAAATAATAAACCATTTAGTGTATTGATCATTAGTAAACGTGGTTATTGTTCTAACTGATGTGCTGGTTTCTTTATGATAAATTGAGATCAGACAAAGTAGTAGATACCAGTATTCTTGTAAAGCACAAGACAGTCAGCTGGGTGAGGTTTGATCATGTGCTGAATAGATTGATCTGTTGATTATTTCAAAAAAAGTGTTTTCAGATATAACTATTATAATTTCTGCTTACTTGCTGTTTCAGTCAAGAAATTATCTGTTATGGCAATAACATGGTTTTGTTTAAAGTAGTTTCAACATGTGTTTCTAAAATCTTTATTTTAATTTTGTCAAAGTAAATACAGGGTTTTAGGGTTATGAATAGCAACCAAGACACCAAGACACAACGTCTTTGACCTTATGTCGTCCACAAGACTTATTAGATGATTTACATAAGCTCAAAGGCACTACAAACCTTTTTTCTTTTACTGAGGCAAACAAAGGGACAGAAGTTAATCAAGCCTCACACAGTCAACAAGATTCTATCAAAAACTCTGTAACACTGACTGCACCAAGCCATGATGCCGATGTGTGGAGCCCTTGGGCCAAGACACAGGGGTCTTGTCATGCAGCAGAAATTGATAATAATTGATTCTATTACATCAAACACCACAGAGCAGCATTTGACTGATCCTGTGATTTCACTTCAAATACCTATAATTGCAAGACACTAATTGGAGTTCACAGAGGATTTCACGCATTCATTCCAAAATACAATATATGCCAGGCCACCTTTTGTTAAATTTTTTGTAAATAAAAGACTCCACAGTACCTCATGATGGTCTATATCAGTCAAGTCAAAACTGCCAAATGTTTACTTATCTGGTCTTGACCTAGAATAGAGGAAATAATAAGAATGGGAATAGAGTAAGAATTGTAATTCTAGGAATAAAATGGAGGGCACTGAATAGATTATGAGCCAAACTTCATTTATCACACAACAAAATAACAATGTTTTAAAGTCAATAGAACATTAAGTGTTCTAAATGATATCACAAAGCTATAATGGAGTGAATTATTATGTATGCTGATGGACTACATTTGTTCCTACTCAGCTTTCTGGGTTTAAGATTTTGAATCGTCTACTTTCAAAGTTACACTGAAAAGAAAATTAGAGAGAATGATGCTTACTGCCAAAACATCTGACATTACATTGAGCTAATATTAGGGCTGGGTATTATCTAAAATCCATTTTACAGTTGAACATAAAATCACAGGTTAAGACACAGATTTGATAAATCTTGTATGGTTTCTGTTACGAAATCTGCGGGATGTTTTAAAAATGTATAAGGTGACACAAGCGTGTGTAATAGTATCTGAATCATACTCTGGTCTAATGTTTGATTTGTGAATGTTTTTCCTAATAAAATGTTTTTTATTTAATAGCACAGACATCAATTATATAAAACGGCTCACTCTTTAATAATAATCGTCAGTCAATCCCAGCTGACATTGGGTAAGAGGCGGAATACATCCTGGTCAGGTCATCAGCAAATCACAAGGCCAAAATACTATTATACTACAATACTATTTAAACCCAATTTAGAGTCTCCAACTAACCTCAATCTGTATGTCTTAGGACTGTGAGATAGAAACAGACTTGTTGCATATAATGTAATAATGACCACAATGCAAGTAACTACACACACAAATTACTGATTACTTCAGGATATAGCAATCACGTCATCAGTGATCTTCTCAGAAATATGAGAGGGTACTTTGTAAAACAACAACTTCTGTTGTGGCTTCATAAATATTATGAAGGATAATTGTCCAACATAATGTGGAAATGCTCAAAAAGATCCGAGTAAGCTTCTTCAACTCACAGCATGAAAATACTAGGTATTTAAAATCACTTTTGACTATCACAGGATCAGTCAAATGCTGCTTCACGGATTTTGATGCAACAGGCTTTGAAATTGATTACTCCTGCATGGTCTTGATGCTCCTGTGATGCACAAGCCTCGGGCTTCACATCAGGCTTTAAAAACAGAGGCAACATCCTCTCTGACACCACTCAGCCGACAGCAAACCACTGGGCCTGTTACATTTTATTCTGCAGTGTCTTGCGTTATTGAAAATACTACAAGTCAGGATGGAGTATCACCACGCTTCAGAGATGAACGGAGTCGTGTCCGACTACCTGAACATGTGCATTGAGTCTAAACAGAATGGTTCATGCAAAGAGAAAGAATCCAGGGAAGCTGCAGATTCAAAAAAGCTGTCTCTGATTGAGAAATCTTACAGCACCATACTGAGTGAGCTTGGAGAAGACGTGGGCAGAGAGGGACTTCTACGAACACCGCTGCGTGCAGCCAAAGCCATGCAGTTCCTCACCAAAGGCTACAAAGAAACCACCCAAGGTGAGGATGGATTTTACTGATGAAATGCTAAAGTCATTTTAATATGGCAAAAACAATTGTCGCATAATGACTGTTGAAATAGAAATATGTTGAAGTTGCATTGTCCTGGTCTCATAAAAATCATTCTCTACGCTTAATGCTAGCTTTTAAATAATGGACACATTGTCAGTCGTTCTCTCTCTTCTAATTTGCTCCAGTGTGATTACAGAATGTCAAAGTAACATTTCATCTTCACACAGATATCTTGAACGATGCAATCTTTGATGAAAACCATGAGGAGATGGTGATTGTCAAGGACATCGAGCTGTTTTCTCTCTGTGAACATCATCTGGTGCCCTTCTTCGGCAGGGTAATTTAAAAACACAGCCATTAAACATTTCTAAAAACACTTTTTATAATGATACGAGCCGATTGGAATATTCTGCATCAGATTTTGTAAACTGATACCCTGACAGACTGCATCGTAATGTTGCAGGCTCACATAGCATACCTCCCAAACAAGAAAGTTGTCGGTCTCAGCAAACTTGCAAGGTAGGTGACACAAAACACAAACACATGCAAAGGCAAGCACACACACACAAACCCAAGTATATAATTCTCTATTTTGATTTTCTTCCAGAATTGTTGAGATCTACAGCAGGAGGCTTCAAGGTAAAACAGTTAAAGATTAATTTCTGAATTTATTATCTTTGTCTTTTTGTTCTTGCGCTTCATTTATTCTAAAAATGTCTCCACAGTTCAGGAGCGTCTGACCAAACAAATCGCTTCAGCCATCTCTGAGGCTTTGGAGCCTGCTGGAGTAGCAGTGGTGATTGAGGCTGTGTGAGTATTCAGCTTTTTTCCATAATGGTCCCTAATTTTCTCACGCAGTGTGTCAATTGTACATGTGAAAGATTGATGGAGAACATTTAGATGCTGGTGTGAGATAAATCAACTGTTATTTTGGTTTCTTTGCATAAACAGTCACATGTGCATGGTAATGAGAGGTGTGCAGAAGATGAACGCCAGCACTGTTACGAGCGTCATGCTGGGAAGATTCCATGACGATCCCACGGCCAGAAAGGAGTTTCTAGCCCTTACAATGAAGAAGTAACACATTTTTACCTCAACACACAGGAAATTGTACAGCGTTTAACACATATGTTTTTTGTGTTATGTGTACTTTTGTCTGTAAAGTGCCGGTGTTATTGGCTGGTTTACTTAAAATGATATTGTATTTTTTCAGCTTTGAAAGTGATGAGAAATATCAGATGCAAAAAATGCAAATATCCCACACATACAGTGTGAGTATTGTTATCTTTATGTATACACTTTTCATTTTCTGATACATTCCTATATTTACAGCCAATAACTATAATGGTGAAAATGCAATAAAAGAAATGTTTAACATGCGTGTGTCTCTCTTTAAGACTAAGATAAACATAATTTCTCCCTGAATACCCAGATGCAGTTTACATGGCCTTTATTAGGCCTGGGACGATAACACATTTTGCTGGATATATATCTCAATATATATATATTGAGATATATTGTCCCACAAATTATTGCCGATAAACGATATTATTGTCAACATGATAATATATCATAATAATGCACACCCTTTCAAATACAATAAACTTTTATTTCACAGTGTTTTTTACCATTGTAATTCTAATTTCAGGAACGTTTAAATATCCTGAATAAATAAAACAAACCAAACACACACACAACCCAAACAATAAATACAATGGCTTGACAAACAAAACTGCACTTCAATAAATACTGAACATTGAGGCAGTTTGTGACATGTATTTCCTCGCAGGCAATTCGTACTGTCTGTCAAACGTCTGCAGCATTTCTCTAAGTGCTGACTTTTCAACTGCGCTGAAGGGCAGCATTTCTTTAGCGATGTAGCGAACTTCACTTTCTGTGAGCGCACAACTTTCTGCGCTGTTCCGTTTGTATTTACTTTGTCGGCCGAACGCCTCAGTGAGTGTTGGCTGTCGGGACGGAGGCTCCGCACCTCGAGCTGCACTTTGTGTCAGCTGGATGAACTGGGTCAATGGTGATGCTTACAAACATCATGGCGGCCCCGCCTCCCCCCACACAGACAAAGAGACTGGATGACTGACAAGAGGGCTCACTCCGTTCATTCCGCTATGGAACAAGGTGCTGAGACCGAGCACAGAGTGAACCCTCTTGTCATCCAGCCTGCTTGGAGGCGAGAGACGAGGAAAACAAACTCGATACATGCACATGGCGATGTATCGAGGCCGGAAAAATTATTGAGTTCATTTTAATTTATCGTGCGATTAATTGATGTATTGATTATCGGCCCAGGCCTAGCCTTTATATGACACCACCATCAAGGCACGTGGCCGGTGAAATGCATAGAGATTTGCCTCTGTAACTTTATTTCATCATTAAGAATCTAGGGGCCAGTATTAGTTTCAGATAAACTTACAACAGAGTCATATCTGAAGATAGTAGGCAGCAATCCTGTCTCTGAGAAATCATGATTCTATGAAACAACTGACTGTTCAGTGAGTATTGACGGTTGAACAT